CTGGGTATTTACCCCAAAGACACAGATGTAGTGAAAAGAAGGGCCATATGCACCCCAATGTTCACAGCAGCAATGTCTGCAACAGCCAAACTGGAAAGAGCCGAGATGCCCTTCAACCAATGAATGGATAAAGAAGATGTGGTCCATATATACAATGGAATATTACTCCGCCATCAAAAGGATGAATACCCAACTTTTACATCAACATGGATGGGACTGGAGGAGACTATGCTAAGTGAAATAAGTAGAGAAAGTCAATTATCATATGGTTTCACTTATTTGTGGAACATAAGGAATAGCACGGAGGACATTAGGAGAAGGAAGGGAAAAATGAAGGGGGGGAAATCGGAGGGAGAGATGAACCATGAGAGACTATGGACTCTGAGAAACAAATTGAGGGTTTTAGAGGGGAGGAGGGTGGGGGGATGGGTTAGCCCGGTGATGGGTTTTAAGGAGGGCACGTACTACATGGAGCACTGGGTATTATACGAAAACAATGAATCATGGATCACTACATTGAAGAAAACTAATGATGTATTTTATGATGACATAACATAATAAAATAAAATTTAAAAAAAAAAGTAGTCTGTGAGAATAAAAGAATTACATTAATGGAGTCTTAGTATTTTGAGATTAAGTTTACATGAGTGTTTCCTAAATTGTGAAACAGTTTAAGTGATGAAAGAAAGTAATTTTTACAATGAAAAAAATAATCTTTTAATAACTACTTTAGTCACTTACATATATTTCTGTTTGCTGCGGTCTAAAGTTCCACTGGAGACTTGCATGCACATCTGCATTAAAGGTGACTTTAATAATTCGATCCTTAACAGGCACCATGTTTTCAATCTGGTCTGATGCATGACCTGCTACTGCTGATCCTCCAAGACCAGTAGTCTAGGTATTAAAGATATTAAGAATATTACAGGATAATATATCAATACTTTCAGGTGATGATTTATTGGATAAAAACAAATTTTAAAAACAATTTAATAATCTAGTAAAAGCCCAGTTTATATACTGTCACTGACCACTTCTTATTGTGTCAATGGCTTGACCACCTTTGGGGTGTCAAGGGCCTATATTTATTAGAATAACTTACATTTTTTCAGTAATCACTTGGTTATTGGACATAGTAAAAAATGAGTCATTTGAGAAAGGACACTCCTTACTGATAATAAACAGCTCAGAATTTTAGCTTAACTTTCCATTAAACATATTTCTACTTATTGCCAGTGTTTCATATATACTATTAGTCATTAATAGAAGTAGAAATTACCCACGACCCTATCATCTCCATGAAGCTAATTCCATTATCCACAGTCCTGTCTGATCCTTTTCCATATCATAACTTTTATAGCATAGATTAGTTTGTAGTTTCACTTCTGTACTCTGCTTTTCTCAAGCATCATAAGTATTTTTCCATGTTGGTAAATGTTTTTTAAACTTTTTTTCTGTACTCGTATAGTACAGCTTTTATAAATATAATTGGTTAATCAGAAAAACTGATCCCTTTGGCACATGAATCAATCACAAGACATCAGAGTAATCTGTGTCTGACATTTCTTGCCTATCTTCATTGCCACTAATTATCTCCTTATCATCAGAGATGTTTAAAAAAAATCCTTACTTCCAGGGTCATCATTCTTCTGATCCTTGAGGTTGCCAGAATTCTGGTCTCCAGATAATTAATCTGTTACTATACTAGGAAAAAAATACCAAATTTGAGGCTAGGGGAAGACTCCCAGCAAAATGTAGTATTACTATCTTCCACGTATTACACAAGTCAACTAACTGCACTCAACTGCCATGCAACATTACTGAATTACATTATAAACCTAAAAGCTGCTAGGGGAAGATTTTATCCTTGTTTAGTAAGTATATTTTCTGCCCTAAAGAGCTATAATGCTTACGTTTTAAGATATAACTCCGAAGAATTTGAGTCACTTGAATAAAGATTCCTTAATGTATTCTGACAGGCAGTCTTTGAATATAGATTCTTCAAATTTGCAAATTTGATAGAAAACTTAAGAACAGAAAAGGGCAATGAGAATATGTCCTGGGCTCTAGTATAGTTCTGCCACTAACTAGCTCCAAGAACTGAATAAATCTTACTTTTAGGGGGCTACACTTTCCATACTCAAAAAAATGTGAGGTCACTGTATTAAACTGTTTATATAATTCTTATTTTTGGTTCTAAAGTTCTGTGATTCCAAAAGTGAAAGGCTCCTTTCGGAATGTCACTATGTAACATCTAACTTGATTTAAGTTTAGGATTACAAATTACAATTTTTATTATCCTGCCCTGCATTTGCACACACATGCACAAAATACTGTCATTCACTTCAGTGTGAAACAGGGTTTCTCAATTTTGCCACTAATGGCATTTCGGGTTGGATAATTCTTTGGGTTTTTCTGGATTTTTTTTTTTTTTTTTGGTGGGGAGAGGGGGAATGTCTGTCCTTTGCAGGGGCATCCCTAGCCTCTACCCACTAGGACATCAGTAGCACTCTCCCTGCTCACCTCCCAGGTTGTGACAACCAAATTTGTCTTCAGACATTGCTAAATACTCCCTGAAGAATAAAACTGACCCCTTCTCCCCTCATGGTTTGCGGAGATTTATACTTGGTAATTTTGGATTCAGTTTTATGATTTAACCAACTGCTAGTCTGGGGATTCCTACTAGGTCCAGACTGCCCTCTGCTGAAAACTAATTCACATTCTATATTCATCCTCCCAAATCAAGCTACTGAATACCCCATAAATGCTAATATTAGGAGACTGAAAAGTCCTTTTGACTTCTGCTGTTTTAGTCATTATGGAAAATAATGGCAAGTTAATCCCCAAAAGGAGAGGAGAAGTTAAGCCAGGCATTAACAGTACTGGCAGTTAACCGGTGATTCCCAAACTTTGCTACACACTGGGATCACCTGAGGAATCTTTAAAAAATTACAAATGCCTGACTCCCACTCGGAGTAATTTAATTGGTTAGGGATGTGACCTGGGTGTCAGGATTTTTCAAAGCTCTCCAGATGTTTCCCCCTCACAACAAAGTTGGGAGAACCACTCTCAAACACTTAGTGAATGAAGTGAATATAGCTCTCACTTATGTTTCTTAAACAAATTCCTGGCCCCTTCCCAGACCTAATCAGAATCTCTGGGGTGAAGGAGCCCTAACATGTTTATTAAAGCAGCTCCACTAGTAAACCTAATGCCTAACCAAAGCAGCAAACTACTACTTATGAATTAAGGAGAATAGATGTGAAATACGTAAAGTCTGCCATTGTTTATGGTTCTCAAATACTAGTCTGCATCAAAATCATCTAGGGGACTTATTAAAACACAGATTGCTGGGCCCCTCCCCCAGAGTTTCTGATTCAATAGCGCTGGAGCTTGACCCAACAACATACACTAGTTCCCAGGTGATGTGCCGGTGGTTCTCCGTGGGACCACGCTTGAAGAACCTCATTAGGGTTTCTGATCTAAAAAGGGCCCTGGGTAAGCAGATTACACTTATGTATTAACAGTGGAGGGAAGCCCCAAACGCCTAACTCATGCCTCTTTCTATGGATTAAAAGTACTCCCGGTTTAAGCCCAATTTACAAGCATACTCCCATTTTTCCAGGGTTAACCTTCGCACATAAACCATACATGGTTCACAGAAGGAATGCACTAATGTAATTTATATTTTAGAAGCGAACACGTGTGTGAGCAGCCAAAGGGTAAGGCAGATTGCTTGGAGAGCAAAGTATAGGCTGCGGACGTTTTCGGTGGTGTAGCTCAGAGATACGGAATTCCACTCTGCAGTGTGGTCGGTATAAGCACGACTGCTATAGGGGCTTGGGTTCTTAGCTTTACCACTAACAACTTCTGGTAAGCTTGGGCAAGTACTTTTTAAAGCCTGTTTCCTCTCTGGTAGCCAACCTCAGACCCTTCAACACGACACGGAGGAGCGATCGCTGTCCAGGGACCTGTCCTGCACCTCCGCCCCTCCTGATGACACCGCCCAGGAGGCAGCACCGGCCCCTACCTGGCAATAAAGCCGATAAAGGGGCACGGCGGCGTAGGACGCCCCCAGCATGCCCACGGCGGCCGCGGCCACGTACGTGAGGACCGTCTTGTTCCGACGCCGCCAGTCTTCCTCCTGGGCGCGTGTGAAAGGGTTCGTGCTCTTCGGCCGCCTTGGCGGCTGCAGGGCCAACTCCCGGCCAGGGTTCGGGCACCTCCATGTCCCAAGCCGCCTCTGCCCCCTTTCAGCACTTCCTGTCCCACTCCTTCCCGGCCTGAGACACGGCCCTACCCTCTCGGCAACCCTGGTCGGGGACCCAGGGTGGCTCCAGCGCCAGCCACAGAAAACAACGCGCCTCCATGCCGGACGCCAGAGCCCCCCCATAGTGCCGGGAGCGAGCTCCCGCCGTCAGGGACGAGGACAGGTCTCGCGAGGCTGGCCAGTCTCGCGACAACTGGGAGGAGCTTGCCGCTGCTCCGGCTACAGGGCTCCTCAGGTGGCGGCGCTTGCAGTCGGGCTACGGAGGCCGGGTTGCCAGATTACGGGTAAGTTCGCGTTTTGCTTCATGACTGTTCCTCCCACTTTGCTTCCCTCCAGTGCCTATTCAAAGTTACTTTTAGGGAAACGCCATGCGCTCCGCGGGATGAAAACACATCATCATTTGAGCTTGTGTCCTGGTCTTCCTAAACCCACTCCACCACCCTTTGTCTCGACCTAGCGGGCCTCAGCCTCCCGCCGCTGCTTACTGCCCTGGACTTGAGCTCAGGGATCACCTCTTCCAGGAAGCCTGCCTGTGTTCACCACAGCGCACAACAACACTCACGCGTCTGCATTTTCTCAGCCGCTGGGAATCGGCTTCCACTTCTCTGATGCCCCTTAACCATTTGTCCAGTTAAAATGACCAGTTCTGGAGCAGAGAGACGTTGTCAAACGAGTTTGTCCAGAGAAGAGTGACCAAGACGTGAAGATGCTTTAAGAAAGGATTGAAAGAAATGGGGATGTTCATCTTGGAAAAGAACCCTGTGGGGGATGTAATACCTTTCTGCGCTTGACCCACAGGACAAAGTAGGACCTGAGGGGATCAGACGGCACAGCCTATTTTGCTGTTATGGAAGGAAACAAACTTCTAGAAAGTATAAAGGAGTGGAGAAAAAAGCCCACATTCTGAGGTTTGGCAGCTCTGGGATCATGCCCGCATCCCACTATCACCTAGTGTCCTTAGGCCAGTTATTTCACCACTGTAAGAAGCGGTGGCCTTATTTGTAAAATGGAAATCATAGTAGTAAATGAGAATATGCTTATAAAGTGATTTTCACTTTGCCTGAGATAGAGTAAAAATTTAGTAATCATTAGGCTCTATTTCTAATGACTGGTGCAGGTATTAGTATCCCCCCTTTAGGGATGAGGAGACTGAAAGCCTGAGACATACATAAATAGCATTTATTTAATAAAAAACATTTGGGGCACCTGGGTGGCTCAGTCCGTTAAACGGCTGCCTTTGGCTCAGGTCATGATCTCAGGGTCCTGGGATCCAGCCCCATGTCCAGCTCTCTGCTCAGCAGGGAGCCTGCTTCTCCTTCTCCCTCTGCCTGCAGATCCCCCTGCTTGTGCTCTCTCTCACTGTCAAATAAAGAAATAATTTTTTTAAAAAAATCCTTAAAAAAATAAAAAACATTGAATTTATTTAATGCGCTTTTGCATGGGCCAGACCTTGTTCAACCTACTGGGGCTACAGCACAGAGAAGGGCAAACACGATCAGTTCTCTTCTGAAGTGTACTTTTTAATGGGGGACTCTGGAGATAATCAAGTAACAGATATATAAATGAGAGAATTTCAGATAACAATCGTACAATGAGACAATAGGAGAGTGTGCTTGAGAACAATAATGAGAAGGGGTAGTGAAGTCTTTCTCTGAAGATGTGCCATTTGAGCCTATTCCTGAATGATGATAGGAACCTACTTGCACAATGACAATTCCAAGCCATGCAGAGGCTCAGAGGCAAGTAAGAGCTAGATAGCATTGAAGAACAAAAATGAGGCCGCTGTGTTCCTAGCATAGTAAGCAGGGAGGAAAGTAGTAGGAAATAAGGTCAAAACAGGTATATTAGGGGTCACATAATACAGAGCCTTTTAAGCCATGTCCAAGGGTTTGGATTTTATTCTAAAAGTAATAGGAAGCTACTACAGAGTTTAGGTAGAAGCATTCAAGTGATATGATCTGATTCACATTTTTTAAAAGACCTTGGTTATGTTGTGCGGAACACATTGAAGGGAGGTGGGCAAAAAATGGAAGTAGAGCAGTTAGGAGGCAACTGAGGTGAGTAATGGTAGTCACCTTGAGTGAGTATGAGTAATTGATTAACTTGTGGTCAGCACCAGAAAATTGCGAAGCCGGTAAGATCCAAGTATCTTCTGACTCTTTCCTACTCTGGCACAAAAACCAAGATGCTATGATTCTACAAATTTATTTGTATTAATGTTTGAAAATCTTTTTCATCTGTATCTACCTTAGTTCTTATACCAGATTGTCAGCTTTTTCAGGACAAGACCTGTCATATATTGAGTTTAACAGCATAGACTCAGACCTCATGCAAATGTTAGTGTCGTTGAAACCAACAATACATGCCCTTAACCATTTTTTTCCTCCAGACACCCCTTCCATGCAGCAACAGATAGCGGTATAAGTGTGTATGTCAGTTTAGTGTCTTTGTCTTGGCATCTATTATTTTGTTTTGTAATTGCAAATGAAACTATTCCTTTCCACGGTATAGTAATCTTGATAGCAGTAAAATGGTGTTAGCTATAATTTTCTTGAGTCTGATATGGTTGTGATATTGCATAAATCATTATGGTAATTAATGCTAAGTAATGAGTTCTACCGTGAATGGAATAGGAGCACCTCAGGGCAAGGTTAGTACAACCCTTTTCTGCAGGTAGAGATGTTGATTACAAACTTAAAATATTAGGGGCTGGACTGACATTTCAGACTTGGCACCTTTAATTTATAATATTCTTTAGCAGTAAGTAATTAAACCTTGTGAACACTTCCTAGTTAGCTATGATCATGTCCAGTTTTACATAATAGGTAAAATTGGTTGTTATACAAGCCATTTTGGGGGGTGGAGGTGAGCAAGATGGGTGAAGGTGGGAAAAAAAGGAAAAATGGGGAAAAAAAAGAAAAAAGAGAAATGATTTGATAGTCACACATTTTCTTTTTTTATATACTTTTAAAGGTTTTATTTATTTATGTGAGAGAGAGTGAGAGAGAAAGCACGAGAGAGGGGGAGGGTCAGAGGGAGAAGCAGATTCCCCGCTAAGCCGGAGCCAGATGCAGACTCCATCCCGGGACTCCAGAATCATGACCTGAGCCAAAAGCAGATGCTTACCGACTGAGCCACCCAAGCGCCCTGATAGTCACACATTTTCTTATCTGATTATTGGTTCTCAGGCTTTCTGAAAACTTAAAGATTATAAAGATGTATCATTTTAAAAATGTGATTTGTGATTTGTAATTACATTTTTTTAGTATTTTTAATGCATAATATAAATTAAGGAAATTGCTACTTAAATCTTAATTTGTTAGTCACTGAGCTGCATTTCTTAGCTATTTGCCTAATAAAACTAGATCCATTTGGCAATGTGAAACATCTAGCAATTATTCCAACAGTACTAACAACTGTTTATTTGGCTACTATATATTTTAATAATCTCCTTATACCTAAAAGAGGAAGAATAATGCATCTCAATAAATAGTAAGAGCAAGTGAATTATAGTTTGAGAATAAGCTGGGTAATCACAGTTTCCAGTGATTGCAGTGACATCATGAAGTTGTCTCAGTAAGTCTTGATATCCTAGTTTCTTATTTCCTGGCAGCTTCCTCTAAGCCACATGTTTAAGGAGTTACTCTATTTAAAAGATCTTTAAAAAGTTTATATATTTTTTATATTCACAGACCAGGTGAAATGAAAGCAGAAATCATTCATCCATACAAGGCATTTTTTAAAAGGAGTATTTATTAAGATCAGGGCCAGCTTTGTGGATAGGTGACCTGTGCAGTCACGTAAGAGCCTGCTTTTAAAAGGGCCCTTTGCCCCAAATAGATGGAATGACATTTTAACATAATTCAGGCTAAAGCCATGTCAGCCTTCCTGGGATAAGCAGAGTTAAAGGCAGAGCCAGAAAACTAGGGAAAATGGAAAAGCAGAGAGCCCAGTCTCAGGAAGTGAAAGGTAAGAGATAAGGCAAAAGGCAAACTCAGGTCTCCTGAGAATAGTCAGGATATATGAAATAACATTAAGCAAAATCCAAGCTCCTCACCCTGGTCCCTAAGACCCTAGGTCAACTCGACCCTGCCTGCTTCTTGAACTTCATCTACTATTTCTCTCTCCCCACATTCACCATGTTCCAGCCACACTTCTTTGTGTCTGAAAACACCCCATATCTATTTTGCTGCCTCAAGACCTTTTCTCTGCCTGGAATACTTTGTCCCTCAGTTTTTATCCTGGCTGACCTGTCGTTTGGATCTCAGCTGGAACACCACTACCCAATCTAAATCAGCCCTCCTCTGTCCAGTCACATTTGTGTATCTGAAATCGTTTGTTTTGTTTCCTTTTTTATTGTTTTTTTCTCTCAACATTAGAACGTAAATGCCCAAAGAGCAGGGACCTTGGCTTGTTCACCATATTATCACAAGCACTCAGCATGGTGCACATGATTGTACTGAGTAAATATTTGGGGGATGAGTGCACCAAGGAAAGCAAACAGAAGGCTGTCTGGTAGTGTAAGGAAATTTCTGAGAGCAGTGAGCTCTTGCTCGGATGAAGATCCCCCATTTGAGAAGATTAGGACTCCTCCTTTCAAGCAGTTTTCCGGTGTTTCCCGCAGGGTTGGTCTGTGTGTTACAGGAGTTCCTATATGTCCACCCCCAGGGCAAATGAGTAGCATTCCTGAACTGCTTAGATTCTTTCTTTTTTTTTTTTTTGCTTAGATTCTTGAAAGAAAAAAGTTCATTAGCAGTAGGAATATTGTCTTTGGGTACAAAATAAAGGAGATAGTAAAATAACCCTTTGATCTTTTATATCTTGATTTTCTAAAACTTTCGTGTTATTTTTATTTTTAAAAGATCAGTTAAGTCTAGGGGCGCCTGGGTGGCTCAGTCATTAGGCGGCTGCCTTCAGCTCAGGTCATGATCCCAGAGTCCTGGGATTGAGCCCTGCATCAGGCTCCCTGCTCAGCTGGAAGCCTGCTTCTCCCTCTCCCACTCCCCCTGCTTGTGTTCCCTCTCTCGCTGTCTCTTTCTCTGTCAAATAAAATAAATAATAAAATCTTAAAAAAAAAAAAAAAATCAAGTCTAGCCCAGGGAAGGGAGCCATTCCTGATTATATAAACCTAGGATTATTTAAATATACTAATGCTATCTCGAAGAATCTCTGCTGTGATAAGGTATAGGACCTGTTGCCACAGTTACTAAACACTTTGTTTTATCTCTTCAAATATAATGCTGAATCTATAGGT